TAACAATTGACAAAATGCTAATTGTTCAGCAACACTTGTAAGGAATATAGTATTCAATGCAAACAAATATACCAAAACCCGAAGGGTGAGTGGTCTGGAAGATCTAAGTAATGGTAATTAAATTATCCACTAATGTATGTCGGTGTATAATTACTTTCTAAACTAAAATGGCACTAGTCTTAAATTTCTTGTTGTAGATGTCCAGAAATGCTATAAAAAAGTGTTTGAATCTTGCTTCATGTTTGTACTGCCTCATCCTCCCTTTCCCCCCACTAGTCAGAGCAGCTGCAAATGTGTACCTAATCATTTCATGAAACAATTTTTTAGTGTCTGGTTCTCAAAACTGGAGTTTCATACTGTGTCTTAGTCATATCTCAAATTCAATCTACTGAGTAGTCTCAATGGAGTGGATGAGTTGAGCAGGAAAAGAAAAGTGTTAATAGTAAAGCTTGTAAACTGATATAAGTTTTGAGTCATAGAGAGAGTTTACAGTATCTGGAAAAAAAAAAAAGGTTACTGAACTTCAGTGATTAATCAGCCTAAAAAAACCCAACCCCCTTAACACCCACCAAAATGGATTAAATTTAACCAAAGTCAATTGTGGTTATGGTTTGCAAGGAAAGTTTTAACAAATTAGGAAGTCAATGTATATCACCTTAACTTCTGAACTTTTGGAGTAGCAAGGGTATTTAGATAATTGAATTTTAAATTTACATTTAATTTAGGTTTATTTGGTACATCTAAAGTATTACTACAATGCCGTTGTAAGTTTTACCACTGAATGGTTGCAGTTTTGTTTCTTCCATGTCATTTGGTACTGAATCAGGAAAAAATGGGAAACAGTGACATGATGTGTAAAATTAATGTATGCCAAATGCCTGCAACATGTGCGTTATTGCTGTTGTGTACTTATTTTGATGTTGCTGTATGTGTCCTGGCCTGAGAAAATAGATACATGGATAATGACCACAAATGTATTACTATAGTGATGTTTGTCATAGTTTAACTTAGCTGGCAGCCAAACAAGACACAGCCACTCACAGCTCCCTTTCCCCTTCTCTAATTTTAAAGTATTAAATACTAATAGTATTTTAACACAGAAAAGGAATTAGCCTTTTTGGTTTTTTTATTAATTAAATCTCTCTTGTGCTCTCATGATTAGAGCTGTGCCTCCTCTTAAACAATTTAAGTTGCTTTCAATCTTGCCTTAGGCTTAGCTTTTTGTGTGAATTATTTTTGTGGGTGCAAGCATTGTTACCTTCTACCAAAAAAATGACTCATCAAATGCAAGTGGCTTTTTAAGATCACACTGGAAGTTGGAATTTTGTTTCACACCAAGTAATCTGAAAACTCAACTCTGTGCTGTGATAATGACAAAATAGGAATGTCATTTGACCATATGGTTCATCCGTGTATTGCACCAAATTAACATGCTGAAGCGATTTACAGAGTTGTAAAGGAGCTGGTTGTGTTTGTATCTATGGTTTTAATGTCTGCTTTCTTCTCCTTTTGTGTGCTCAAGTTCTCTCTAAAAGATATAAAACATTGTTTGCCCCTAAAAGGCATGGGTTGCCCACATGTGCTTTCTGAATGCTTTACTGGGTGAAAGTTAGTGCTCATAACAGAACATCAGATTTAGCTGAGCAGTCTTTTTTAAAAATAATTACAGTAGACTTCTATTGGAGAAGAAAAGTACCACAAAGCCCTAAGCTACGGCACAAAGGTTTGAGGTTAATATCCCACGCTCTCCTATCGCTACCCTGTTTTATGGGGAGTCCTAGGAGGCAAGTTGAACACCCAGCAATCTGCAGTAGGAACTTTCATCCTGGCAACTTGGCTCCCCTCAGAATGTCTGAAGGCCGTACCCAAGTAGTTTCCTAGAAGCCTCAAGTTTATAAGGATTTAAAATGGTATTTAGCTGTTAGATCTCTAAATCTAACTTTTGCCTTTGGTAGTTTGTATTAATTAAAAAAAAGAGAGAAAAACCACCAAAGTAGAAGAACTTGATAAATAATCATGCTTAATGGCGCATACTCCTCAGCTAGAACGATTAATGGGAAGTCAGAGTTTTCCCCTAAAGACTTAAAGGGGATGGCAGGG